CAAATCTGCTTTATGTAATAAATGGTAATTAGAAAATGCTTTAAAATGACATTTTAATCCTTCAATATTGTGAAACAATATATTCAAGAATTGTGAAGATTCTTGAAATATTAATTGTTTTTTTCTCATTATTTTCATTTGAGAAAGAACTCTATCAACATTTTCGTTACAGTAGAATTTGTCAAAGTGTAAATCAATAAGAAATAGTCCTTCTAGGATACGAACACGTGATAATGCTGTATATCCCATTCCACTTCCAAAAAAATCTTTCGTACTAATAACAACTTGATCAACAGTAATTCCTTGAGCTTTATGTATAGTCATTGCCCAGCTAAGACGTAAAGGAAATTGTTTTGTACCTTTTTTTGATTGTGAATCATATTCTAGTCGATCAGTAGTGTTACTTTCTCGCATCACACATATTGTATCTCGCCCATGACAATGTGGACAACTACGTCTATGAAGACGTCCAACTTTAGATGAATCACATTTAATTATTATATGAGAAACATCTTTATTATTATTTTCTACAAATTCTACAATATGACCTGTGACACCATTTGCTAATCCATCATTTACACAAATATTTTTCGTCATCATCACACGAGCATTTTTAGCAAGTCGTAATGGCTTACTATTTTTTTTTCTTTCTGTTTTTTCGTTCGTTTTTATTTCTTTATCATTATTATTAACTTCATAGAATATACGAATATTTGTGCAAATTTTCTCAATCATTTCTTCGTTATGTGCATCAACTTGAGCATTTCTAGCAAAAAGGTGCAATGCTTCTGGATGATATTCTTTATTCAAATAACGTTGATGACATTTTTCAAGCACATCACGATCTTCTTTACTCATATCTTCTTTTTTTTTAGTTTTTCGAATACGATTAAGCATTTGTGAGAAAAAAAAGTTTGTTTTTTGTCTTTCATTGATCTTAAGTTCAACATATTCAAAGTGATCAGACCAAAGTAAAGAAGAATAAATACTTGAAGATGCTACAGGTGAGCATTGATAAAAGTCACCAATAGCAACTATGCCAACATTACCAAAAATAGCTGTATTCGAATGTATACCCATGATTTGAGTAAGACGAGAATGCATAGCACCCCATAAACTTGCTTGTATAAGAGAAACTTCATCAACAAATAATAATTTAAGTGTACCCAACTTACAACGATAACTATTTAATTTATCGCAAGATAAATTATCGCTTAAAGTATTATTTTGAGTTCCAATCCCGAATGCACTATGAATAGTTACTCCACCAACATTGACAGCTGCTGCACCTGTGAAAGCTGTAATCAATGTATGAATTTCATCAATATTTTCATCAGGTTCTAAGTGTTTTTTTCGAGAAAAAATTTTTGTTGCTTCGTAATGAAGACATTTCAAAAGGTGACTTTTACCTGTGCCTGCTCCTCCCGTAATGAACAAACGAAGAGGTTCAACATCAGGATTATGTAAGCGTTTTGTACACCATTCTCGAACATAATAAAATACTTCTTGTTGTTCATAGTTCATCGATTCTAAGAAGGGTCTTATTTCATTTGTAGTAGCAAAAGTTTGCTTCAAGTCAATGAACGTATTTTTATTTTTTCCTTTATGAATAATATTAAAATCGGGATTATCTTCTCGTTCAATATCTCCTGACCATGTATTATCCTTTTCTTTATTAGCAACAATTTCAGCCCATTCGTTGTCTTTCATATCTACGGATAATTGATTAAATAATGATTCCGCTTCATCTGTTTCTTTCCAATGAGCTTCATATTTTTTTCGATTTTCATAGACAATTTCTTTTACTTTTCTTATACATTGTTGTCGAGCATCAAATATTTCACCTATTTCATAAAACAATTCATAAGGTTTTTTCAATTCACTTCGACTTCTTATCGGTAAATAGAGAGAAAGAAGATTTTCAAAATAATTTTCTCTATCTGTTTCTCTATTGAAATATGGATACCGAATAATAGCATTACGATTACAACGTTTCTTAATAGCAAAATTTAATGTTTGTAATCGTTTAATTGGAGTCTTTGGATTTTTAATGTTTTTATTAATCGATATGATTTCATATTCAGAAGCAAAATCTGCCATACAAATATCGAATTCCGGTTCTTCTGGTCTATCAAAATATTTGTCAGCTAAGTTAGACATATATATATTTTCGTCATCTGGATCCAATTCTTTTAATATATTTTGTGATTTTAAAAATTTACAACTATTTGAATGTGCTGGTACAAAAACAAAACCTCGACTTGAATATGTTAGTGGCATTTTAGTAGCACGATAAATAGCTTCTTGTACACTAACTTGTCGATGATTAAAAAATGTACCTGTTAATTTTTTCATTTCTTCTCGAACGGACATATTTCCATCACGACATTCTTTATGAGTTGCTTCTAGTAATAAACTCATTTCTCGTTCTGGTTTTGTTGTATATGACATAAGATATTTTGCACAAGCATATGGATCAAGTACGAATTGAATATCCATATTAGCATTCCATGCTTTCAATATTTCTTCATTATATTGATTAACCCATCGTGCATTAGGTTCTCTTTTATGAATCATGGTCGTTCTAGTATGAACAACACGAAGAGCACATTCGTAATCCTCATAGGTCCAATTATACTTTGCTAGAAGATTATCAAAATCCGACCATGACAAAATTTTTTCTTTTTCTAATTTATTCATCGTTGCATTCATTTCAGTAAGAATTTCTTTCATTCTTTTAAATTTTTGTTTATCATCATCATTCTCAGCTTTTAATGGTTCACAAATGAATGTTCGTCGAGCAACAGGCCGAGGAAATCCAAAACGACACAACATTTTATA